CCACCCTTATCTGGACACGTCAAGCCAACTCGCCGCCAGCTTATCTTATCCCTTATCCCTATCTTATCCCTTATCCCTTATCTTATCTCTATCTTATCTTAAGTAAGAGTGTGTTACCAATAGGAGTAGGTAATTACGAGTTTGAGTTCAAGTTGGAGTTTGAGTTTAATTAGGAATTTCCTTCTGTAATCTCCTATTTAAGGAGCTACAAATTGAAATAAAGTATTCAGTTTTCCAGGCAAGAAAAGAGTGACGAGAGTTCGGGTGGTCTCTTAGACAAATCACCCATTAGGAGAGTTCGGGTGGTCTCTTGGACAAATCACCCACTAGATAGTCAAAATAGGGTCTGTGCGCAAGGCCAAAGGCAAGGGAAGATCAGGGGTTCCTACCGTGGAACAACCCGCGACGCAATCCTACGCTCGGGCCCATAACACGAACGATCCAGAGGGTGGTCAACGTGCATGGCGTTTACCTCCAGGAATCTCAAACCACTTAGACGACCTCGCAGAAATCTCGGATATGGTGCGTGAAGCCCACGCCAAACAATGCCTATATAAAGGCACCAACCCCAATGGCATGGGGGGCAAGTAAGCAAGTAAGCAAATTCTAGCTCTCATGCTTTGTGATTTTTAGCTCAGTCTACTATGAGAGTACTGACTTAAGCATCGGAGCGACCTCGTCGGGCAAGTAACACCGGGTCCTCTGACATTTGGTTCCATGCAGGTCTCTAAAGAGCAACGAAGCTCATCAATCCAGCTCGTCGCCAAGCAGCTCGACACCTCACAGGTAGCTCAGCACCTGGTCAACTCGGCACCTCCCAGGCAGCTCGGCACCTGGTTAGCTCGGCACCTGGTCAGCCCGGCACCTCACAGGCAGCTCGACACCCAATTAACTCGGCACCTAATCTGCCCCTAACTCAGACCAAATGACGAGGTACTTAGCACAAAAAAATTCACACTCCACCAAAAATTGATTCATCATTTAGCATCGTCTGTGGGAAACGCTACAAAAAGGCTAAGTCCTGTTCTTCGAGAAAGCTAAGTCCTCACTTTTAGAAACTAAAGCTCTCGCTTTATAGTTCCCATTTTTTTATGAACTCAAAGACTATGCAGGAAGTTGATGGCCAACAGACTAAGCAGCTCTACCAACTTTATTTCAACTCAGATAAAACCTCATCAGTCCTCTTCGCGAGGTACCCTCTACAAAGATGAGCTCTTCGTGGCTTCTGCGGGAGTAGGCGGCCAACAGACTCCATGGACACCCCTGCCGATCGAGCCTTCCAAGGCTCCCGTGCGAGCTGGTGACCTAAAGTCAGTAGTGATGCCCCCGTAAGTCGAGCTCCTAGTAGCTTCTTGTAGGAGTGGGTAACCGACGTCACTAACAAGGCTGATGCAACGCACTCGTAGCTCTAAGGCGTCCACCTAGCGGCCCAAACGCGGCCTGTCGGCCTGGCCCATGTGCGGCCTGGCAGCCTGGCACATACGCCAACCTGGCAGCCTAGCCCAAGCGCGACCTGGCGGCCTGGCACAGGCGCGACCTAGCGGCCTGGCCCAGGCGCGAACTGGCGAGCTGATAAAAGACCTCGGCACTACGAAAAGTCCCAGTCGCCTCTTCGGCATGGGCAAAAACAAGGAGCAGACTACGAGTCGCTCCTAGAACCTAAGGGCTAAAATACCACATAAGACCCAATCGCCTCTTCGGCATGGGCAAAATCAAGGAGCGGACTACGAGTCGCTCCCAGAGCCTAAGGGCTAAAATACCACATAAGACCCAGTCGCCTCTTCGGCATGGGCAAAATCAAAGATCAAGGAGAGTGGACTACGAGTCGCTCCCAGAGCCTAAGGGCTAAAATACCACATAAGACCCAATCGCCTCTTTAGCATGGGCAAGATCAAGGAGATTGGACTACAAGTCGCTCCCAGAGCCTAAGAGCCAAAATACCGAACTAGCGAAGACCTCCTCACCATATAAGACCCAGCCGCCTCTTCGGCATGGGCAAAATCAAGGAGCGGACTGCGAGTCGCTCCCAAAGCCTAAGGAATTGAATCGACGCTTACGAGCTTATCGAATTATTCATTCCAGGCCAAAAGGAGAAATCTACTCCCTTTGTTGAGTTACTTTCAGCTCGGGAGTGGGGGGCAAATGATGAGGGTGGATTTGGCCCTCCAATGACATTGTGACACATGGCACCTCAGAACAACTAGGTGACACCCGGAACCACTTTGGCAACAACTTGCCTTAGCCAAGTTGATGGTGTCCCACATGGCGGCCTGGCACAAGCGCGAACTGGCGGCCTGGCCCTAGCACAGGC